AAAAAAAAAATTAAAGCCAAGACAAGGCCCTTCAGTCGGCCCTAAAAATTCCCTCACACAAGCAGCACAAAATTTCTCCCAGGATAACTTCCAAAATCCCCCAGCTTTCCATCATCTTCCATCGGCAAAAGCAAGCTTACAGGCGACCAAGAAGCACAAGACTTCTGGTGACCCGAGAGCAAACTGAGAGCCCTCTGTCTGCGGCTGAAGGGAGCAAACCAGGCGACCGAGCTGAGCACACCGGAGAGCTGAGACCGAGAATCAGCAAACCGGGACCTTACACCCAAACCGAGCCTTTTTCCCTTACCTTTTTCTTTTTTTCTTTTTTTTTTTTCCGGTAAAAGGTAATCATCCCAGCCCCGTTTTTCATATTATTTTCATGCTGTAAAGATACGTTAATTTCAGTTGAAGAAGAATCAAAAAAATATCATGCTTAAAGATTTATTAAGAATTTAAGAAAAAGAGATGGAAAAACCAAGTAAATGCCTTGAGTTTGGTTATTTTTCCGAAGCTCTTTTTCCATGTTAGAACCTAGATTTTATAAGCTTTTAAGAACCCCAGAAATCGTCGGACAAAACCTAAGTTCAGCAGTCGAAATCGCCGGCGAAAATCTCAGTCGGCCGAAGACCCGCAGCGCTGTGCCTAGGTGAGACCCGTAGACCGCGCCCTGTGCGCGCAGGCGTGCCACCGACATGTTCGCGAGTGTGCCGGAGACTGTGCAGTACCCGTGTGCCGAGACCCACGAGTTTATCACCCAGACGCCCGCAGATGCCATACCCCCGTGCACGCGCAACTCGCATGCACTCCCAGCGCGACTGCAGACTCTCCTGCCGAGACCCGTGTCCTGCCTGTGACCCGAATCCTTCCAGGCGTTCTACATGCAGGCGGCCCATCCCAACGCTCTCAGCGTCCAGTGCCAACCACTCAGCACAACAGCACCCCAAGCGTCCCGCGCGCACCCAGCAGGCCCAGGCCCATTCCAGCAGACCCCAGCAGGCATGTGCTCGTCGACCAGACCCGAGACCAGCACAACGAACCTTTGTCATGTTTTTCGAGCCTTAATTAATTTAAATCGAGTAGATAACTAATTTTTCAAGCCTTAGCCGAACTTTGAGTATTTAATTCGAGACCTTTAACCGAGCTTAGAAAATTAATTAATTAAGTTAACCAATTATTTTAATAATTCATTAAGTAAGATATTATATTTAGGTTAAGTAATTTCCATGTAGATTTCAAGGAGTTGAAAGTGAGACGAGTATTGACCATTCATTCATCATTTCATTTTACAATTACTACGCAATTATCTCTTTTAATCGCAAGGTATTATATTTGTGATATGTTATGTTAGAAGAATAATTGAATTATGTTATGTGAGAATAATGATTGAGTTATGTTATGTAAAAGTAATAATATAAATGTGTAATGTAATCAGCCTCTGAGGCACGAAAATTATCTATGGGCCGACGAGCCAAAGTATGTGATGTAGCTCAGCGTACCATCTATATATATATAATTGATAGAATATAGCATTTAATAAAACCTATTTAATAAAACCTCTAAATTTTTTCCTTCCATTTTTGGTTACAAAATTTATCATTAATATTTTTTTTACTTCTCACATTAGTACATCCTATTAAATGTAATCATATATTTTTTCTATTATATTATATAATAGTTATTGCTAATACCAATTAATAATAAATATAAATTACCTAATTATAAACAATCGTTTCAAGTTATTTATATTAGCATCAATATTATCTTTTTCTTTTGTATCTCATGAAAAATTTATTTACAAATAATTAGTAAATTGTTTTAATAGCATAGTCAAACAAATTTAGAATCTTATAAACAATTGTTTCTTAGTAATAATAATAATAATAATAACAATAATAATAATAATACTAATAATAATAAAACTATTATTATATAATGATAATAAACAATTGTTCATAATAATAAAATCGTTAATTTATTTTTCCTAATGATCAAATTTTTGAAAATGTAATATGTTCCTTATCTAGAATTTTAATATTAAATTCTCAAATATTACTTAAAATATTTTATGTACATTTGTGCATGTGCACAGGATATCTACTAGTTGATAATAAAGAAAAGAGATTTCTATTTCAAATATGATAATCTTAATCAAAATCAACTAAAAGGAATAAAAAATGGAGAGTCCTTTATATAAGGTTCCTAAACCCTAACAATAACTTGTTCACCAAGACTAAATACAAATAACAAATATTAAATGCGAATAATAATAATAAATACTAATTAATTAAACTACCAAATATTCTAGTACCATGAATAATATGTATTATTCTGCATCAGTTGAAAGCCTCAAGTCGTATGATGGCACAAGGTGCCCTCATGTCGTGTGACGACAACATTTAATATCCAATTGAACGCCCTCAGGTCGTACAACGGTATGAAGTACCCTCAGGTCGTGTGGCGGCATAATAAAGTCCCCAAGTTGACGTCATGGACTTTGGGTTTCTAATCCACTTAGAACTCCCACTGCAGCAGAATTCTAGTCCAAATTTGAATTATTCTGTTTTTCCATTGATTGTAATTATGTTATTTCTATAATGAGATGAGATGTGAAAAATATAAAAAGTTATATATTTAAAATAATGTCTAAAAAAAAATGATATGAGCTCCTCCTAAATATGCTATAGTTTATGCCAAGTGTAAAACTAAATACAATAGTTGCTAAACGAATGATAAAGGAAAAGCGTGGTTTACAAAAGTATAACAATGACAAACATACTAATCAAAATATACACAATATACAATTCCATCCCATTATATTAAAGGAAAATTATACAATCTCGTTACGGAACCATTCCGTCGAGATTTATAACCGTTAAATCACCATGTAATCGTCATAGATAATTGATTTAACAGTTACAAACTCCCCACGGAATAGTTTCGTAATGAAAACGTAGAATTTCCCAATATTAAATTTACCCAATCCCATAAAAAATAGCTAACCAGACCAGCTTTAAGTATGAAAATGTGTATAGTTTAGAGAACCAGTACACTGAAGATGCCTTCAAATGATGGTGAAATTGAAGATTATGACAAGAGAATCCCGGATCGACCGCTTATCGATAAGCATAACGTGCCCAATTTTCCTCCACTTCTACCACACCCCCAAAATATCTGCATTTACCTTAATCTTTTTACCGTTTTAAACCTGAATAAAAGTCAAGATTATGAATTAATCATTTCAATTAATACATGTATATTAAAATATGTTCAATATTTCAATTTAATTCATCAATTTTGTTGAAAATAATTCATATAATAAATATATATGGTAAGGAAAAAGGATAATTATTTATATTGTTTGCAGAAAGGGTGATTATTTTGGCAGATATTCTCAAATTACTTTCTTTCTTATTTTTTGGTCACGCCTTTTGGGTTGCTGTCTATTACTACTTTCCATTTGAACCAATCACAACTCATCCACATTTCCATACAGCTGTGTTCCTTTATTTGCCCCTTTTATTTTCCTTCTTCATCCTTATAACTTTCAAAGCCTCGCTAATTAGTAATTAATTAGGAGAGGTGATACAATCTCGTTACGAAATTATTTTGTCGGGATTTGTAATTGTTAGATCATCATATAACAGTCGGAGATATCGTCGAGGTTTATAATCATTAGATCATGTAATTATCAAAGACAGTTGATTTAACGGTTACAAACCCCAACGAAATGATTCCATAACGGGACCGTAGGATTTCTATTCATTAGTCCTATTTTCCACCGCAACCAATCATACACGCAACTATTTATAATTTTTATAGCCAAAATTAGACGAATTTCCCATAGTACCCCTCACTGAGTGAGTCCCTATAATTATTTCCAGTCATTCCTCAATCAACATTCATTTTCTCATACGACAAAAAAAAAAAGGAAGGAAAAAAAAGGCATGGATTCTAAAACAAAATATCTGCTTTTGTTCTCTCTCTGCATCGCTTCATCATGGGCCGCCGACATGTCCATCATAGCCTACGATCGGGAGCACCACGGCGGGCCGGGCTCCCGGCCCGAAGACGAGGTTATGTCGATGTTCGAGGCGTGGC